TTTTCAAATATTGCTGGTGGCTATATTTTCTTGGCCGTTCGTTTCTCTGCTTCTTTACTGATTTATAAATAATATATGAATTGACGGAGCAGATCTCCAAACCCCCAAAAAATAGTTTTCGCCACCATTTTACGGATTTTCTTAAAAAACAATATGTCGAAGCCAGTTGGTCAGCTCGATCAACACCGCTCATAAATTTGATGTAATTTTCAATAACATTGGGCTTTTTTATAACGACTTGAGTACCGCCTCGTAGAGTCCTTCTTACGGGAGTTTTTACCGCATTATTCCATGTCGTCAAAGCTATGAAGGTTGCTTGTGTCCGTGACATAAACAGTTTGCGGTACAGCTTTCATCTCCTATGGCGAGAGAATCACCCGAGATAAGACATTTAGACACCTCGTAATATGACCTACAAAAGGCCAAGTAGATCTTTCAAGCGGTATTACTTAGATCAAACACAAATAAACACATCGATCTGAATGGTGTTTCTCAGGCACCGTTCGAGCGCAAAGGGTTTAAAACTGTTTTACCGACTGAGAATACAATTGTTTCAATGACCGAGATTTTAAATTGTTTTACTGACCGGGATTAAGAACTTGTTTATTGCTTGAGATTTCGAACTATTTGACTGGCGGATATTTAAAACTGTTTTACCATCAGAGTCGCAAAAGTAAAAATACTATGAAAATAAAATTAGCATTATTTGTAGTAAGTTTGTCTCTTTTCTTTTACAACATAAAGAAGAGTAATATAAAAAGTATAGGAAGGGAAAAAAGAAATGGAAAAATAAAGAAAAAGAGAGAGAGTGACATCTTTTACACATGTCATACATGCCTTGAATCTGTGATTGCGCATGTGCATAACATATCTCTCACTCATGACGTCGCCATTTCATAATTATTCAAAGTGTAATAATTATTTTCAACTAATTAACGATAAATACAAAATATTTAATAAAATAAAGTTGAGCAAATAGTGAGCAAATAAGAGCATTTATTCATTATTTTCTGCTGTTAAGGTTTCTTGCCAGCGTTCCTACGGTTACTTGTGAGCTTCTATGTACTTCTGTATTCATTAGTGGAACATTCCAGTAGAGATGTTCTTGCCAATAGATGATATTCCGTATTGTGATTATCGATGTAGTAATGGTTTCCTTCTTTCAGGAGTTATCTTACGCTCCAAAAAATAAATTATAAACATTGAGTATGAGATAAAACGAAAGGATAATTTTAGAGGCACTAAACGATCACTGTAAACTTTACATACATTTATTTAATTGCATTCATATTTCGAAGATTTGTTACATTATATAAACATAGACATTTTGCTTTCACGCTAATACCTAATTTAATACCTACATGTATAGAGCTATAATATTTCTAGGCATGCAGTATTCCAATTTTATTTGGTAAAACGTGCTTCGCGATAGACACATTTATACAAATCTCATTCGCGTTCTTTCGGAATCATTCTTCCCTCTCGATTATGTCTCATGCTCTCACGAATTTATATACTCTTACACACGCACTCTCCCTTTCTCTCCGTTTTATTTCTTTTAAACTTTCTCTCTCTCTCTCTTCATCTTTTTCTTTTTGCCAACATAGAATCCAGAGTATTCTGAAATACGTAATATCTTCGTTTATAATACCAAGAAAAGAGTGTCGGTTTTGTAACATAAGCTTTGCGGCGTTCATGATCAAAATATAGAACAATAATAAGAAAATAATAAAAAAAACTATTTCAACTTATGTTGCGGGAAAAACTATGCGAGAAATACATTCAGTTAAAAAAAAAAAGAAAAAAAAAAGAAAAAAAACCGACCGAATTACAAAGCAGCTAACGATAAAATAGAACGATAAAAGTAATTTAACGTTTAGGATAATCACCGAGAAATATATAGTTTTTTGGGTCATCTCGGAGCCAACACTCTTTTCGTCGCTAATTAACTCATGCCTTTTTTGCCGGTTATTATTGTCCGATACAGACGTACATCTAGCGATAAAACGCCACCTTTTTTCTAGTTTTCTTTCTTTCTCTATCTTCTTCTTCTATACGCGTTGTCTTCTTTTTTACTTTCCTCTTTTTCTCTATTCTATTTTTCTAGCGTACCACTTTCATTATAAATGGCTTCTCCCCGTTGATATCGAACTTTTCTATTATTCCGTACGCTCCTACTATTATACATATTTTTATTTTTTCTGCTTAATCGGATCAAATTCAAAAATTGTCCAACCGATGATCACTGAACTGATTTATTGTTGTTGTTGCTTAAGTATGTTTCATTCTCTTTTCTTTTCTTTACTTTCAAAATCGATCACGTTGATTCACTTTAATTCGCACTTAATCGCACCTATATGTATATGCAAGAAAAATCGACTGGCCGATAGAATTCCGGAAAGAATTTATATCTCGAAGATCGTCTTCGGACGTCAGTTATAAACGAAATGGTATAAGCGAGCTTTATACGGTTATTAATACTTACAAAGTCGTACCAATGTTATAATATGACTTATGCATGCCATTAGGTTACACCTATGCTTAAATTGGGCTATGAATTACGGAGAGAGCGGTGAGAAGAATCGATACGCTTTTTTCACGATCCACTTTGTTTACGATTTTAGGCGTGCTTGCGCGTGTGTTTTCTTTATTTTATTGCAATTAATATTGTATTTTATTTTATTTTATTTTTTATAATCTATTTTCTTTTCTTTTTCTTTTAGATTAATCGAACAAAGACAGATATTAATACACATAGCCATTATCAGGAATCAATGAATTGATTTAATGAAAAAAAAAACCCACGCGCATAAGTTAGTAGTTTGTTGCTTAATAATGTAATTAAATCTATTATGAATTTCATTAAAATCGAGATAGTTAATTGTAAACGCTTTTTTTATTTGTCGAATGGCAGTGGATAATTTCTTGCCAAATAGGTGCATTTGTTAACATATATTATTAAATGTATTATACGCGAAATAATCTCCTACTTATTTTAACGAACTAAATAGTTCGAATGATATTTCCCGTACGAACAAATATGGTACAATCCCATATAAATTATTTTCTTATACAAAAATAATTCCACGAAGATTATTACGTTTCTTCGCGTGTCGGATATGGAGACTCCACGTTCGGAAGTTATTTTGGAGTCGTCGATTTTTTATTGTTTTTTGTTCAAAGTTACATATTCTCAAAATGATCTCATTGTTCGTTAACATTTAACAAAATAAAATTCTATCAAAATTATTACTCGCCACGAATCGATCGTTCGTTCAAGGCGAATTTATTTCGATTTCAATTAAATTCAAACGAATTTTACTTCGGTCAAACGAATCTGCTGTTAGATTAATATAATTTTTATAATAATCGTAAAATTTATTCATTTATATATATATACCAAGCTTCGAAACTTAATGGTCTCTGATAGTTCGTTTCAAAATATATCTTAACGATTAGATTTCTAAGTTTTGATGCATCTTGAATATTTCACGAATTACATCTTAGGTTCTCGCGAGAATAATTACGATTAGGCCGTATGCAATGCGAATAAGTCATCGAAATCACCAACTAAGAAACTCGTTTTTCCATTTTCCACGTTCTCTTTCCACGGAGACCTCACAATCTTTTCTTGATTAAAATGATGATCAGTTTATAATTTATGTACACTTTAAAGAACTACTTTCGTAGAATGTATAATCGTTTTCAAACGTATCTAATCGTAAGTAGGCCGATACCAAATCGATAAAGTCTACACCTTTCGTGAAAGTGAAAGAAACGAAAATGTAGAAGAAAAAAGAGAATAGAAAATAAGAAACTATATATATATATATAATGTATATATATGTATATATATTATTTTGTCATTTAAACTTTATCGTACGAAAAGCTTACTTTCAAAACTATCGATAAAAAGTTAGAAATAACGCTACAATATATATATATATATGAGTGCTAATTCTTTAACGTCTATGACGTTTAAAGAAATATAATATGTAAAAAACGAAAAAAAAAAAAAAAAGAAAATAAAATATTCGCGTAATAAAATATCATATTTGACTCGTAAACGAACAATCTTCGGCGAATAAATAAATATTAAGCAATAAACAAAGAACGAAGAAATAAAATAGTCTCCCGAGGAACAAACGCTTTTTCAACTATACGTATTCATTATAAATACATTATGATAAAAAATGTAGCAGTCCTTTCCTTTTGTTTCCCTTTTTTTTTTTTTATGTATTTTTTTAATTATTTTTTTCTTATTCTTTTTCGTTTTATTGCATATTCGATCCAGAAGTAAATTATTTCTGGGTATATACCCGACGTGTAGAATTAACGTTAGTTGAGTAAAAGACGAGACACGTTGAAAACTATTATTTATCATGCGTAAATATTACGTTTCGTTTGTAATTCGTTAATACTCACGAGTCTTACGAACCATCATTTTTTTTTTAAATAGTGTGGTCACATTACGTGCTCGGTTAAATATTCGCGACTGCAAGTATATATATGTGTGTGTGTGTGTGTGTGTGTGTATGTGTTAAGTGATTGTTTGCATTTTATTCGTCACAAGCACGCGCGTTTTCGTATTCACAAATCGTATCGTATTAGGGATGAAAATGATGCGTGTACGCTTGCATCCTGTTCCCCTCTTCTTCTTTTATTATCCTTCCCATTATTAGTTTTTTTTTCTCCTACCCATCCTTCCATCCCTCGTTCCACACTTATGAATCCTTACAATCCTATAATAATACGTTTAATACCTAATATGCGTTAAACTGCAATATGTATGCGCATGGCTTATTATTTTTTTTTTTTTTAAAGTTTTCCCTTTTAATATCGATAGTCCATCATACTTAATATTACGTACAATATACTTTTGCTTCTTCTCTTTATCAATAATAATAATAATAATAATAATAATAATAATAATAATAATAGTAATCATATTAATAATATTATTATTATTAATAATTATAATTATAATATTAATAATAATATAATAATAATAGTAATTAATAATTAATAATTAATAATACATATCACACTGAGCCGGCTGTGTGTGTCCATCTTAGTTTTGGCCCGCACTGTTCTATGTCACTCTCACTTTCAAAGATCTCCTGCGTTTTATTTTGAAGGTGCGTCGAAGATAGGCGCAGTTACTTTATTTATTCTTCACCTAATCTAATCATCCCTTTTTTCTTCTTTCCTTCTTCGGCGCATCTTCGAATGTTCGGGGATATTTAAAAGATCGATAACGCGACATTTTGGATCGCGGGGTTTCCTTGTCAATGATCTCGTTGAGTCTCGATATACTGCTACGATGATGTTTGTTGAAAGAGAGTTTGTTGCTTGCTCGACGAGATGTGGATATTACTACTTGCTAGTAGCACTTTCTAGTGCAGGTGCACTTACGAACGAGGTCAATATCTTTTGTGTATCGCATGCCATCCGTACAGATCAGCCGAACCTGAAATTTAACAATTTGACAATTTTACATAGGAGAAATATAAGTAAATGATGTTCGAAATTTGATAAAAATTAAACAACGTTCACTTAGATCTTAGGATTCAAACTTTACTACTGTATTAAAAATAATATATCATTTCGACAGTTTAGGAAAATTTGATATCGATCGAAAAAAAAAAGAAAGAGAGAAAAAAAAAAGAGAGAGAGAGAGAGAGAGAATACCTTGCGTCGTTTGGTCTTTCTTGGTAAGCAGCACGAATTGCCGCAACTTCCCCAACATTTGGCAAGTCTCACAGGTCGTCGACTACGGCATCCGTTTTCGCTGTAGTACTCCTTCGTGTGCTCTTTACGACACGTTGGCGCTGAAACGGAAATGAAAAGTTTAACTTAGATCATCGAATGCCACCAGCATACTCTAAAGTTCCCATCCCCCTTTCGAAAAGTCCAAAACTCGAAATGCACCACTCAATGAAATTCGTTCTACGATTATCTTGTCTCAATCATGAAACGAACGAACAAAGGAGGGCCGGGGGTAGACCTTTCACAAAGACCTTTTATAAGAGTCACGAGAATTTACTTCCTAATGATGTCTGTCATGAAAAATAAAAGGTTTCAATTATGTAGATAGAATAGAATCACCTTTTTCGCAATATCGCCCGTGCCAGCCGGTCTGACATCTGCAGGAATAATCATTCCCAAATGGCGATGGAACGCATTGTGAGCCTTTTTTGCACTCGTGGCTGGTACAGGGATCGGAAGTCCCTGTGATTGGTAGCGATACGACGATATCTAAAAGTTAATCGAAAGATTTCAGAACAAATTTCTATATATTTGAATCTTAACTTTGTATGAAAAGTGTAGAGGGAGATAATGAAATAGAAGAAATTTCAAAGTTACCGGAATGTTCGCGAGGAGGAGGAGGAGGAATATGCTCCTGTGGCAAAGTATCCTCATTACTGCTAACAGCAATGCCTTCGGCTTCGATGACGTCTCGTGCTTCATCAGCTTCCTCCTCGTTAGAAGCACATCCAGGAGTAACACGATGCCTCTTGGCTGCGTTACTAAAGTCCACTAGCTTGTGGTTGATCCACATCTCAGAGATGCAACCTATGTTGAAGGATTAAAGTTCGTTAGTTCGAGGTTCGATCGATTCGATAAAGGATACTCTAACAGATTTAACGATTCGGTCATCACCTTGGAAGCTCGTGACGTTCCTTAAACGGAACTCTGTAAGGGCTACGGTGGCGGCGTCGGATGTAACACCACCAACGTACATCGGCGTGGTGAGCTTCAAATATTCCCTTGGGCCCTCGTTTATGATGCTCCTGGCTGGACCGCGATCGACCCTCATCGTGAAGTTCTTCTTAATCGCCAAAAGTTCAGCCATGTGGGGTTTACCGTCGGAGACCATCTCGTAGCTATACATCGTTGAAGTGGGATAATTTCCAACGTCATAAGAGACTCTAACGCGACCGTTGAACAATTCGACGGCTATGTGCTCGCCATTTTGACCGTCGTATAATAAAACCCCGTTTTCCTGCGTGGTCGTAAAGACGATGGTCACATTTGCCTCGGGCCTCGTGCGTAGCGGCTCTAGCTCGACCAGCGAGCTATTGTCCACGAAGCTCAGACTCGTCAGGTACTCGCATCGTTTTCCTACATTTCATTAAAATTTTATATATGTTTATACTGTGTTCTTTAATCGAACTACACACTACATTTTATATCTCGATTTAAAACCAAAATAATCTTAAAAACGTACCGGTATAGCCGGGGTGGCACTGGCAAAGATAGTCCGCGGCAGAAGCAGGAGCTGGCTGAAAGCAGGCACCATATTGACAATCGTGATGAGCACACGGACTCGTTTGCGGATATAACATGGCTGTTGATGGTGCAATCTCGCAGTACCTCCCAGTATACTCCGCCGCGCACTTACACTCGTAATTGTTTATGCCGTCGATGCAAGTAGCACCGTTCTAAAAAAGAAAATAGTTAATTCGATCGAATAAGGATGACACATCGTGAAAAATGCGTGTAAATTGTAAATTGAAGGATGGGGATTGAGTTGTCGTACCTGGCACATATGATCACCGCAGTCATCCAAGTTGGTGGAACAATTAAGGCCGGTGAAGCCGATCGGGCATTCGCAGCTGTAGTGGGTCTGGTGATCGACGCATCGACCCCCATTCTCGCAGGGGTCGTGCCCCTTTGTGCAAAAGGGTATTTTCGCCTCGCAGTATTCTCCCATGAATCCTGGGGCGCAGTCGCATCGATAGGCTTGGACGAGGTCGACACAGGTCGCGTTATTGGCGCACTTGTTGTTCGCACAGTCGTCGACGTTACTCTCGCATCGGAGTCCCTCGTATCCGGGGGCACAGTCGCAACTGTCACACACGGACTGAACGTCAATCGAGAGATTGAGCTTGACATTCGGTCAAGCTAGATTCGTCAAAACTAACGTCGCTCTTCGGGGCTCACGTGCACGTCCCGTTTCATATTCTACTCTTTCTATATTTCTTTTCTTTCTTTCTTTTCTTTTTTTTTTCTCTTTTTTTTTTTTTTTTCTTTCTTTTTTCCATGATGGCGATTAACACACTCGTACAAAAATCTACGAGGCTACTACTGATAAAGCCTAATCGATTCAAAATTACAGTTTCATCGTCACTATACTATCATGCATTTTAAACTACTTTCTACCAATTGTTCTTAATCACTACTTCGTGTCTAATTGACGTATCGATCGTTCAAATTGAATTCTCGATACGTCTTAATGATTATTATCATTATTATTATTATTATTATTATTATTCGTTACGCATTCGTAGGAAGCAGCAGGCTCGTTTTACTCATCAGACGTTTTTCTAAGATATCTACTATCGATCGATAGAATAGACAGAGATATAGAAGAGTTAAAGGAATTCCGTCCGATAATTACGTAATCCTGTTGGATGATCTCGCGCGCCGACAGGATTAGATATATCGACGTCGAAGATAAACTCAACTACGGGATAACGAGCAAGGCTAAAGTCGACCCGACGAGCTACTGACAAACTTGAGAATAGTCTAGCCGGTAAATACCTGAATCTTCCTTCCTCCAATACTTTGCAAGTTCCGGTGTTCTTGCAAGGATTTCCATAGCACGCGTCAATTTTATGCTGACACCTGTCCCCGTGATATCCTGGCGCGCACTTGCAACGGAACTGCCTATCCGGAAGCGCCTCGCAGAGTCCTCCATTCTGACATGGCGCGGTGTAACACAGGTCGCACTTTGCCAGGATCTCGGCTGGCTGTTGCTTGGCTGCGCGGAAGAAAGGTCTACGATTAATGAGCAATTTTAGTACCGTACCGAGCTGATGGGCCAAAAAACCACGAACTAAACAGACTGATCGCGTTCCACGATTCAAACTAAAAACACCGTCACGACGAGATAACTAAGATCGTTGAACAATACTTGGTCAAGACAAAATTTACATTGACATTATAAAATCATATTTCTTGACAAAGTTGTTCCCGATCTTCATACGTATCGATGGGATACTTACTTTTACAATAAAACGCATCAGGTGGGGTAGTTAAAAGAAGTTTGTCTCTCATATTTGGTGGATCCAAACACTTGGCTATACCAGCTTCAACAAAATCTTTCTTCACCCATTCAGCTAACCAACGCATACTGCAGTCACAATAGAGAGGATTCGAACCGAGTGCACTGGAAAATGAATAATAGTAGTCATAATCGTTCAAATTCCAATTATTATCGAACTTTTTAGTATCCCGTTGAGTATACTTACAGATGAGTTATCAATTTCAAATCCTCAAAGGCACCTTCGGGAATCACCGATATGTCATTGCCATGAAGAGAGCTGTCGGAATGAATATTATCGATTAACGCTTTTCCTAATAGCAAATCGTATATCTCTACGTAATTAAACTAGATCGATAAAACTCACATCATACGTAAAGACTTTAATCCTGCTAGAGCATTTCTTTGCACACACTGCAATTTGTTGTAACTGATGATTCTACGAATAAAAATACGAAGAATGAGTATAAAGAAATCGTTGGGAGATCTTTCCAAAGAATAGATTAGAAAATGTGTCAACTTACAGGTGCGACAGCTTCGTGAGATTCCTAAAGGTATCGTTTGACAACATTCCGATCTGATTGTTGCTCAAATCGCTAGGAAAAAAGAAACGAATGGAAAAAGAAGGTTAGTACACGTTGGTGAAAGTTAACTGAAAAAAAAGAAAAAAATGATGGCAAAGAGAGAAAAAGAAATATAAAGAGGAAGTTTTATTTACAGCTTGGTCAGAATCCTCAGGTGGTTCAGTCTCTCCGGCTGGATGGTCTTAATGCCGTTCTCGTCCAAATACAACTCCGTGGTTTCTGGTGGAATCCCACGTGGAATTTCCGTAAGCTGAGCCCTGGAACACCTCACCACTGAGCCGGCGCAATTGCACTGGGGTGGACAGTAATCGTCGCCCAGGCAGCCAACGCTGTCGTCTGATGTTCGTAAAACGAAACGGCAATCGTTAATGAAACCCTTTAACCCGCGAATTACCGCGGATAGAATAAGCAAGAGAGAACGCGTAGAAATGCTGATTATGCAAATTAAAACGCGCCTCGGTAATTTCATGCAAATTTAAGTAGACGATTATTAAGTACTTAAATATTAATAAAAAACTATCTTATACTTTCGTTCTGAAACTTGATGATATAAGATTAAAAAGAAGTTTTATCTACCTACCGTTGGCCACTCGTTCGTTCGTTCGTTCTTTCGTTAACGCAAATAATTATTTTATGCAAACTTAACAGATAATTATTATCTGTTCGAGAGTACGTTATTACAGAAAAAAAAATGAATAAGGAAAACACGAATCGTTCTTTGATATCTATTTTACACTAGGTTAGAAGAGAAAAAAGATAAAAGAAATTGTTCAATCCGGTTGTTTCAAAAGAGTAGTCCAACGACTAAATAAAATCTAGTAGCTTGTGTAAGAATCATACGTACTGTTACATTTGAATTCGTGATGTGGAATATCTTTAATGACGGCGTCCTTGAGTCGCGGGGGATCGTGACAACGACCGGTCATTCCTGTCATATCTCGTTTCCTGAGCCATCCGGCGAACCATGCGAGGTGACAATTACACGACAGTGGATTGCCTTGCATGTTGCTGGAAACGCAAAGCTATACATCAAACTCACGACTCGAGTAACTCGGAATCATTAGAATTCATGTATTTGCGTATATACGTAGTATGTATATCTTTTAATATGTATAGTTCGTTATCTTGGAAAAAGGATCTTGATAAGCGGAAGCGCACACGATATGCATACGCTTTTAAAGATAAATCCTATGAGTAATATCAATTAATTATTAACGCTTACATGGCACGAATGTGAGCCAATCCGTCGAAAGCCCCAGGCATCACGCAGGTTATAGCATTTCCGTGGAGATTCAAGCTCTTCAGATTCGTCAGACCAGTAAACATTTTGTTGTGAACCTCTCTAAGTCGATTGTCGGACAACAATCTGTGAAGAATAAACGAAGAAAATTCATAAAATAAGATGAAGGGGAATACAAAAACGAAAGAAAAATGATTATCGAACGTTCGGTGAAAACTTACAGGTCGGTGAGCTTGTGTGCTCCTTGAAAAGCAGACGCTTCGATGCGTGAGATTTTATTTCTCTTTAGATCCAGATGCTGCAATTCCGGAAGCTTTTGGAATAACCCATCCGCTTTGATCTTGTCCAACTCGTTGTTACCTAACAAACTGCATCGAGAAAAGAGGGAAATAATAACTCGCAATATTTTCTCTTTGACCTTTTCACATTAATGCGGACAATTAATTAATATTGAAAGAGAAACAACGTTAAATTAACTAATCATGTAATGCTGATTTATTAATCGGATAAAATAATTGATTACGACTAATAACATGAAAATGATTATTTTTATTCGTAGAAAGACAAATTTGCAACAAAAATAAATTAAACCAATCGGTAAAATAATTTCGTTCGATTATACACGTCATTTTCAATATATATATATATCTAACAACGATAAATAATATTGAAATAAAAGTTGCAAACAGAATCGATCAATACAATTGATAGAAACTGTAACATGTAATAATGAATTTGAAAATGTTTAACAACTACAATTCATTCGTTAAAATTCAACGTGTCTCTCTCGGTTATAAAACATTGCCCGTATATTCATGTCACGCGTGCCCACATGGGTAGTAGAGATATTGTGGAAAATAGATATGATAATAGTATTTATCTTCATTTGAGTGTCACATATCTGACATCGATATTAGTCAAGTATTAGCGAGAAAACGCGTAAAACAACTCGCACAGAAATATTCAGCGATATTCAGTGTATATTACAAAAAAAAAAAAAAAATACTGACTGAAATTATACGTTGCGAGAGAGAATGTAAAGTGATACTTACAGAGCTGAGGTGTAGATCGGTAAATCTCGAGGTATCGAGGTAAGCTTCTTACCGGAACAATCGATAGTTGCACCGTTGCATGTACAAGAAGAAGGGCATGCACCGGGTAAAATACATTCACCAGCCCTTTTAGTCAAAAGTTCTTCGTCACCTATAAACAAAAAACTCATTGATAGAGTCGAATTAACAGTTTTATTGCCTGATCTATATAAATATTCTAATTTTCATTAAAACAAGGTATCTCTCTGCTCGTTAAAGTAGAAGCGATGCGAGTCTTTTATTTACTCATGAAACGAGCAACATACGATTATTTTGTGTATACCTACCGTGTATTTTATGAAGTTTCTCTCTCTTTCTTTCTCCCTCTATCTCTCTTATTTGTGTCTATTTTAATGAAATATTAATTTCTGCATATGGTAGAGAATAAATAAAACAAATGTTAAATAACGTTTCACTTTTAATCTCCTCGCTCGCATCACTCCCATCATTGTCGAGTGAGTTACCGTATGCAAATGAGGCATTTCGTGATGAACGAATGATAATGATATTTATTGATAACTATGTTGAATTGTCGATAGGATGATACCCCTTGATAGATGCTTAGTGAAATTTATTCGTTGTCGATATACCAACACAGTCAAAAGGAGAAACGTTGAATGTAATTATATGAGAGAGAATGAACGTGGTGAAACGATAATATACTGATTTAATACATTTTAATAATTAACAATCATGCCTGGCGACATTGCAAAACTGGGATCGGCCGGGCATCGCTTGTAGGAGAACGTGCCCGTTCAATAATTGAGTGTTTAGCGGCACACGTTGGGCATTACACATAGTAAATATGTTTATGCATGAGAGCACGGCTATAGAGAAATGATTCATTGTCGCATTATACCTCTACATTGTGAATTAACCGAACCACGATACGCGTTTACGCGGACGCGAAACGATATCAGTAATTTATCGTAATACATATAACGATATGTTGTTCAGAAATAGGGAAAATCGATTCGTAGAATAATTTCTTCAATGAGCTACGATCAATATTAAATTGGATCATTGGTTTGAAAGTTATCAAGCTTTTATACACGCTTGAAATCGAAATAGAATAAGAAAAGAAAGGAAAATGTAAGAAATATTGTTATACTGTTTGCTTCTTATTTTTCTATATATATATATATATATCGAAGATCGAAAAAAGTATTTTCTTCTTTCGATAAAAATCGAAAATCGTTCGACCGTGGTCACGTTATTTGCCGAGGAAATAAAAGAACAACTTCGCAAAAGATAGTATACTTTCTCTCCAAGGATTCGAAGGAGGCGTTTGAACTGGCTGCTCGCCTTCTTCTTGTTTCTTGTCTTGAATCCTTTCGTAAACCGCGTGCGGCTTTAGCGTAAATTTTTACTATGGCTCGAGCGGAAGTTACGAAAGTTCCTTTCAAGTTTTACGCCCGGAGCGTAAACTCTCGTTTAGAGAAATGCACGTAACAAGAATACCCCTTTATACTTTGTAAAAGGGGTAGGAGACAAGGGCACATATGTGTTTCCGAAATGTTTATTCCCCGGCGTCGTTTTACTTCCTCTGACCTCTTCATACTGAAAAAGAGTAGCTCTATATATATATAATACGTAATACATATATATAGTTATCCGTACACGTTTAGCAAGAATCTACAAGTATGTACATACGTACGGAACGTGTGTTTTTCAAGATTATCCTGTGTACTAGGCAAAGTGCATTTGGGATAAACGCGAAACCGCGAAAGAGGAGAAAGAGGATGGGTGAAAACTTTTGGCTATTATCCTCGAACATATACGGCGTATTACCGTGGCTCTTTATTCGAAGTTTGTATATCCACTCACATGACGTAATCCAAAGAAAATAAATAAAAATAAACAAAATTTAATTTCTAAAATAGAAATTATATCATATATTTATATTAATTATATAAATATATTAAATATTATATTATATTATTATAAATTTCTATATGTTAGAAATTAATTACTTTTTCCAACGACGACTTCCATTTAAAAATGAGTTAATTTTAAAATCTTCGTTGAAGCGTGAAAAGTATGAAATTAGAAGCACCGATAATCCGATAATTACAGTTAACATTGAAATGATATTTCGTTTGTCACTTTGCGTACAAGTTTGAGAGAAGTAAGTATATTATAAATTAATGAACTCGAAATGTGGCCGAGCAAGTCGCAATAAGCGCATAACAATAATCATAAATGTCGACGGTTGGTCCTTATGAGAAGGATAATATGCTAGCATAATAAATAAGCAATCGGTTGAGAAGCGTAGAGAGACAGGGATTCTGCAGCGATGCATCCAGTAGCAATTACACAGGCTCGACAAAGTGCACGACATTAATCAAATGAATCCAACCGTGGCTACACCTGTACGGATTGGCCGATCATCCAGACCGGACGTGCCGACAACTACCAAGAAGAAGAAGAGGAAGAAGAAGAGGAAGAAGAAGAAATAAAAAGAAAATAAAGGTCTTGGCGCTGGTTGCGTTGCAAGATGTATCGAAACGACGCCAGACGTAAGATGAAAAAAGACTGTTTCAAGAGATGCACCATGAGACTAACGAAGGTACATCGAGCGTAATATCAGCGCGGATGAAAGCATAAATCTAAATCGTACATCGTTGGCCATGGCCAAAGGCAGAAGCTTTCGCGAACATTACTCTTCGACGATCGTCTAATAGCACACAGATTAGAAAGAATAATTATTCTTCGAGATTATATAGATGACAAACTCGTTTCGCGTTTTAGAATTTTAATATTTCTTCAGTAAGCTTGGTAGAGATTTTAATTAAATTATTACCCTGTAAAATATACGTAATATCGCGTATTACGATCGATGGTTAATTCAGTATATCAGTTTAGTTTTCTTATATTGCATTAGTTCGAAACGTTTCTATCTATTGAGTGTGTTCGATTAATATAAACGTTAACTGGAAACGAAACTTATTATGCTCGAGAAATGGAAAAGCGTTATTAATGAATGTTAATGTAATTCTAATGATGAAGAGGGGTGGGGGGATAACAATGCGAGATTTTAGTTGGGAGAAGCTACCGACCTGTATACACTGTCCTCTCGAAGTTTTAAGAAGAGATACCGAAAAGGTCGAATCGTGCTTACCCTTACATTTGAACTTGTCGTCCCGCATCGAATCGATCTTCCGCTTCTGCGTCCTCTTCGGCGATTCACATTTTGCACCGGACGTCTCGATTGGATGTGCGTGAAGATAGACACTCAACCATCTCAAGTTGCAATCGCAGATGAAAGGATTTTTTGCTAGATGCCTACGAAAGAAATCCCCATTTCTTTTTTTCTCATTCATTTTTTAACCATCGTTATTTGAATAGATAATTGAATTGAATGATAAAATAAATAATTATTAAGATAAACGCTAGAGAGAGAGATACAAACAGTGTTTTGATACTCCGCAGATTTGAGAAGGTTCCGTTCGCCAATGACTTGATATTATTGTCGTACAAAGAAAGTAACGTGAGGTTGTAAAGATCTCGGAAAAGGTCAGTCCTTATGCAAGAAATTTCATTAGCGTTTAGCAAACTGGAAACAGAAAATATATTGTTTTGTTAATAATTTAATGCTGTTGCAATAATTTCATTGAACAATCAATAACCATGATGCCTAATTAAAAATCATTAAACGTAATACAATCACTCACAGTAATTGCAAATTGGAAAGTCCTTGAAAGAGACCACCTGGAAGGTCACTGATTTTATTTCCATAGAGAACTCTGAAATATGTAAATTTCGTGTTATACGTATTAACTCATATTATTATCGAGTACGATAATACATATGATATATAAAACTTCGAAAACTTACAAAGATTCAAGTGACTTCAATCCGTGGAAAGCATCGGAGGCTACTTTTTGAATTTGATTATTGCTGAGATCGCTAGAAAAAAAAAACAGAAATAAAACAGATGAAAGAAAATGTTAAACAAATTTGCATGATTTATTCAAATGTGAATAAGCAGATTAATCAGGAATAGTTCTATACTCACATTCTGCGTAATTTTCTATAAGGTGAAAAGGCCTTAGGTGGGATCTCCGTGATACCATTTTGTTCCAATCGTCTGAAAAACGACCAATGAACATTTTAGGAGATAAAACAACAACAGCAACAACAACAAAAGATGAACAAAAAAAAATAAATAATAATTTAGTCATTCTTCATTTGAACTATCGTTCCGTATTATTCTATTGGTTTCGATTGGTTGCCGAGTATTATTAGAAGCAAAAAAAAAAAAAGAAGAAAATACAGATTTTTCGCACCGCTCCAGGTAAATTGGCACCACGTCTGGCATCGCACGTTCGCCGAATTCGATTTTCCTATTTTATCCGATAGCGGGTGTGGCGCACCCGGGAATAGGGATTCTCTATATTTTTTTTTTCTTTTTTTTGGGGGCGGGGGGAGGGGGGAAATTTCAAATCAAATTTTTTCTTTCTTTCGTTCCAATTTGTGGGATATAAAGCGCATCATCCTTTTGATACTTTATTCACGAAGAAAAAGAAGTGTATAGATAAATGGATAAATGGATGATAGAAATAAAAATAAAAGAAAAATCGATAAAGCGAGACAGAAAAGTTTCGGGGCTCGTTGTTATGTTGAGTCAGAATGGGTAAAGGTTTTTTTTACTAACAATTCCGTGGTGTCCTCGGGAAGATGGGTCGGTACTTTCGTCAAGGAATTCTCCCGGCAATCGACGATTCCGTTGGCGCATTTGCAGGGATGCGGGCATTGCGGTTCCGCGCTGCATTCCGAGCCCGCTCGTTCTACCAAGCCGGAGCATTTGAACTCGTGTTCCTGCAACCAAGAACAGCAAAAAATAGAAAAAAGATCGCAATGTTTGAGTAAAAAAAAAGAAAATAATATTCTCCTCCTCCTTTAATAAAAATAAAGAAAGGAATGAGAAATACGGAAAGTTAAGCACACGTTTCGTTTAGTTCCAAGAGAAACTATTTTCGACTTTTCCAATTTTTTGTTTTTTTTTTCTTTTCTTCTTTTTTTTTTTCTTTTACGAAAGAGAAGCAAAAAAACTTGCATATTTTTCGATAAATTTTTTTATCTTACAAGATTTCTTCCGATTTTATTCGTACCTGTAGGTCGGTCAGACTTCGTTCCTTCAAATGTGCCGGAGATGAGCAACGTGTGTGTTGTCCGAGACGAGAATATACTCTCAAATGTCGAGAAAGCCAAGCCAAGTGACAGTCGCATGCGAAAGCATTATCGGCTAACTTGAGGGTCCGTAAATGGGGCAAACCGGAGAACATTTCTTTTCCAAGCGTCGTTAGTTTGTTGTTGTTTAACATTCTGCGAAGAAAGATAGCAAACTTCGTTTTATCTTCCAATATTCTTTTGTTTTATCTCAAGTACGAACAAAATAGTTCGTACTCGAGTTATAGCCATTTTCATTGAAAAACTTACAAAATTTCGAGTTCCTTCAACTCTCTTATCGAGTATTCGTCGATGCACGTCAGCACGTTGTTATCCAATAAACTGTTGAAAGTCGATAAGGAACAAAAAAAAGGGTTATAATATGATCATGAAAAGTGAGACTCTTAGGAGTACGCGCGCAATGCATAAAGTTAACGGAAAAGGATGGAATTTCAAATAGAAGGGGATTCGAAACAGTTTAACTATCGAGTTTGTTCGGGGATGCTTGCTTGGTGTTGCACCGCGGAGCATTCAAGCAACTCCTGGACTTCCTGGAGTGAACTAGTTGGACGGTAAACGATGTAGAGTATTACCGAACGTTAATTGAAATCACTCGAGGGACGGTTACACGACTTTTCGATTATACGCTAAGAGAAACGGGAAGAGGAGCTTAGAACATTGGATGAAGATGAGGAAAGGGAAAAGAGAGAGAAAGAGAGAGAGAGAGAGAGAGAGAGAGTGAAAGAATAGGAAATCCTTGGAAAATATATACTTACAGCTGCTTGAGAGCAGATACACCTCTCAACGTCTTTGGTCCTATCGTGGCTATCTGATTGTGACTTAGATCTCTGCAACACGGAAGATACAACAATTGTTTCCTTTTAGTCAATGATTCGAAAGGTTCATTTCTCGATTAACGCTAAAAATAACCAAATTCATACACACACATACATATACATATACACAAACATCCATATTCTCTTCGTTTCTTTCTCTCTTGGCTAACTGCAATCTAGAAAATCGCAATCTCCTCTTTTAGTTGTAACGGAATGTGGTTTAATGATTAATTTCGTAGATATATTTCTTCTCTTGAAGTCAGATGCACCGTTTTCCTTATTCAATGATATCGGTATTATCCTTTTTTGACGTCAAGAACATCGTAATTATCGTATGACTTTTAGTCTATAACAAGCGCGTTAGTGACATCTTAAAAAGGATTTTAGACGAGTTAAGTCGAAAAGGTAGACGAATCGATTTGCATCGAGTCCTGGGAATTGTAAGGCGAACCGGTAAGAAGCAATTACAAGAGAAGGCACATCCTTTGCTCGTCCATCATCCAGTGATCTCGATACCGCTTCTCTCTCTCTCTCTCTCTCTCTCGCACTTTCTAAAGATGGAGAGAGCCTGTTTCAAAGTCACCACATGGTATCCCACGGTGGTTCGTTCGTTGGAAGCAATAAGAAGAAAAAGAAGAACCGACCTCGTACCTACTACGAACTCGCTTCGTTGAATCTTTCTCTTTCTCTCTCTCTCTCTTTCATACGTCGACCTTTCTAAGTTTTTTTCCCTCGACGGACACACGACCGTAACACGTTGAGTTCCGATGGGTAAAGAACACCGGCTCGTTCCACTTCCGAGCTCAGTTAGTCGCGAGTTCGTCCTACATTTCCGATAAATTATTCAGAGCATCGAATGCTGGCCTAGTAGTCGCGCGACTTCCACTATCGTGGTGTTTCCTCTTCCTTCTTTTTTACTCTTTCTTTCTTTCTTTCTTTCTTTCTCTTTCTCTCTCTCTCTCTTTGAGAAAGGTCTAGTTAGTTTCAAAAGAAACTCTATTTAATTTCTTTCCAATAGAACACGTCAAAAGTTTTCGCTTCTCAGGATAATCCCAAAGGAATTTACCTATTGATTTATTAAATTACTAAGAATAATATTTGATCTTAAATGAACAAAAAAAAATAATATTAAGTATACGATTATCATTTCGTTATGCCATTTCTTCGAAGAGAAAATCCGCTTTGGTACCTAAGGCGTAACGAAACGTTTGAAGACGATAAAATACAGGGAAAGAGGAAACGTAATCACGATAAGAAGAGAGCAAGAAGGGTAAAATGACTTGCTGCGAGGACGGATGTACGAAGGAGTTAAAGTTACCACTAATGAGCTTGGCTACGTACGTGGAAAGCTCTCTTCTCTTGCTAGTTATTCTCGTGGCCGGTTATATACTCGACTTTCGTCGTCATCGTCCTCCATCGTCGTATTCCTTGTACTTGTGTTTGTTAGTTTTCTTTATAGATACATACAAACACACATACATACACACATTTACGTTATGTATAAGAACGAATGAGTTTTTCTTTCTCAACCACTTCGAAGCTTTTTCACGGGTGGCCGGCTTCACGAATTGCCCGAGTCCGTTTTCAAATGAACGGGAGCTTTCAGATAGTATCTCGGAAGGCTGTTAAGCATCTTTTATCCGCGAGAAATACGAGGGTTACCTTGCGAGTGAATGCGAGATAGAGTCAGCATCTCTAATGGTTCATTTCTTCGTTAAACTTTATTCGTCGGATACCTATTTTTCCTATCTTTTATTTTGTTTAAAACTTTCAATTTTGCCCACAGTCGTCATATTATTTTCCTCCTATTCAAAATTCTAATCATCTTATTTCATATCAATTTAACAATATTATTCGACTATGGATTTATATAACAGTTATCGAAAGTTTATATTAACCGAGCTTACAATAGAGATTAATCTCCCCTAACTTTCACCAAGAATACGATGAATCATTCGGTAAGAAGAGCGCGAAGAGCTCGTTTAACAAAACGAGTAGGGAAGATGAGTATTTTTTAAAGCTCATCGCGGAATCGAATATCTTCAGGCAAGTCTCAAGCGTTGTTAAACCAACTCTCTCTCTCTCTTTCTTTCTCTCTCTCCTGGAAGAGAAAGAAAAAAATGAAAAAAGAGAAACAAGAGAGAGAGAGAAAGAAAGCTTCGGAATCTCTTCTCGAGGCACGAGTTAAGCAGACATTTGTGATGATAGGTTAGGGGTCTTGGAGCACGGTTCAGCATTGACCATCCATTGGCTCGGAGAACTCGCAATCTGTAATTATGCTTGCCACAGACCACGAGAGTGGCTCAGAAAAAGACAGACAGACAGACAGATAGAAAGAGAAGGAGAGAGAGAGAAGAGAAAAGATGAGGAGGGACGCTTGAGACCGAATAGAAAGAGAGAGATAGTGATAGAAAGGAAGAGAAAGAGAAAGAGAAAGAGAGAGAGATAGGAATGTTATGAGTTGGACAACGCGAACATAAGGCGAACCTGGGAGATTGAACTTCCAGCTCGCGAACCGAGCCAATCCAGAAAGCAATTACCGAATTTCGACGTGGCCGCGCCTCTACCGTTTACCACTCACAAAGGACCTTCTGGACCGTCTCATCTCTAGCGAAAGGCGAGTACGAGACTAGGTCTCTCTCTCTCTCTTTCTTTCGACAACTTCAATTTCAAATGGTCTTGCCAAACTGGCTGCTCCCAGAGCGTTTGCCGCCTCCATTGGTACTCACTGGACTAGGGCGATAAGCACGGGATAAAACGAATCTCGAAGAGGACGCGAAATGCGAGATCCGAATTCTCAACGCGACGCTTGTTTCTCCTTTAAGCTTACCACCCTCTTCTATTACCACCCTACCACTACCTCAGTTCACCTCTCATCACCCAAAGCTGTACTATTTTCTTTCTTTCTTTCTTTCTTTCTTTCTTTCTTTCTTTCCTTCTTTTTCTTCTTCTTCTTCTTCTTCTTCTATTTTCCTCTTTTGCTCTTTTCATGGGATCGATCCTTCCTTTTAAAGACGTTCGAAATGAAAGAGAAAAAGATAAAAAGGCAAGGAAAATGAGAAGTTCCAGTCGTGCGTACTCCGATATTTAGACTTCTAACTTTGCTCTTCTCATGCCTTGGAAGAATAAACGAAGAGCTTCGAGAATTCAACGGCGTAGAAAGCACAGAATATACTGGAATGATGGAACGGGCAAAGAGAAATACACGCTCGGCTTCTCGTTATCGGGGAGAAATGAAGAAAGATGATGAAAAAAACGAGAAGCATAGTAAAACGAAGAGACGAAAATTCTTTTGGACTTTGGTGAAATTCAAGAAACTTGTTACTTGGGTAGTCACGTGAAAATATGAAAGAGAGAGATAGATAGAGATAGAGAGAGAGAGAAAGAAATGGTTAGAGAGTGACACGATGGATTTGTTGGCTTCATGGGTGGTAGAAAAATTTGAGAAACGTCCCACGATACGATATCGAGAGCATTAAGCGCGAAGGACAGCTCTTATCGGCGACGTTCGACGAACGTGAAATATCGCGGCTCGTTTGATGCCAAGCTTACAGACGGAGTGTCTGCTACGCGTATGTACGTACGAAACGCGAGTCGTGTTTTTAGATAACAAGAATGACGCGATCCCCCCTCTATACTCCCTCCCACCCTCCCTCCCCCAACCACCAATGCTCGTAAAAATAAAACGCCTTTTTATTTCTTTCTGCCTTTCCCATCTCTTTTTCTTTTTCAATCTCTTTAAAGTGTTCAGGAATTGTTGTACCTCCCCCTTCTGTCTGTTCTTGAAATCAAACGATTGAAAGAGACGACTTTGTTGAACGAATATCGACGATTTTTGCTACTGGTATTATTAATATTATTATTATTAAAAATTATTTCAAACCCTTATCAGTCATAGATTTTCGTATGTGAATTTTGGGAGATTAATTTTTGATTAATATCATCGAGCCTGTAAATGAGATATTTTCTTTTTGTTATAAATAAAAATATTACATGCTATGCACAATAATATAAGAAAGATAATTGTTTTATAATTGGATCGCGTTATGAATTAAAAAAATCTAATGTCAATTTGCTTAATTCTTCATTATCTGCTTTTTGCGTTTCATTTATCATTACGATATCAAGAAAATGTTTGGTATATTAATGAATTTTAAATTTATATGAACTAATATTGGTACAATGAATTGTTTAGGTGATAGTACCATGTGTTTCTTCAACAGTTGACAGACGCAATAATTTTCAATTTTGTAAAACCCTGACGCTTATGTACGTATATGTCACAACATTAAATTAATTGTCGTAAATAATTTGTAATCTAATAATCTACTTTTCGTTGTAAATTTTTCAAGTTTAATTTTGATATACACGCTGCCCCGTGAATTATTTGCAATCTCATTTTTTTTTGCGAATCATCCTTTAAATTACCCTTTACGAATGAAACGCGGATAAAAGGAAGGAAATGTTATTACCTCGTAAATACGAGCTTGTATATTCTCATTGGTCCTCCTCCTCTTTCTATCGCGTTTGTAGCGACGAGAGAGCGAGTGATACTAATCGGAGGAGGCGCGTCCACAGCCCTTCCCCATTGTGTCAAACCATTTATTACCTCTTCTCCGAGTAGGTACTCTCGGTCTTCTTTACCATCTTCGAATAACTTTCTCCGTTTGCGTTGCGATGGGTTAATCATACGTTTCGTTTCTCGTCATACGACCCACGCTCTCCTTTCTTAAACTCGTGAAATTTATTTTCGATTCAGCTCGCAAAATTAAATACGAATCCGACGATTAAAGATCGGATAATACTTATTCATAAGACCTTTCAATTTAATCCCATGACTTTCTTAATCCCTCTTGGAAAAATAACGAAAAAACGATGCCAAGGTCAATCTCAGAAAAATCAAAATCCGGGAAGTTATATATATATGTTACCGTCATAGCTGGAAATCCGCCATTGCTGGTAATTCCTCGGCATTCTCATCAATGCAAAGAGCCTTCCGCTAAAGTCGGAAACAGAAGAATTCTTACAGTTTTTCCTAAACATTGAACATAATACTTTAATATTCTATAGAATATCAAATTAATATTTAAACAACGTTGAAAAGAATACATTCTCGGGCACAGACACATACACAGCCATACGCAACCCCTCCCAATCAGAGGAGAAAATCAAATCAGAGATTGCAATGCTAAAAATTGTACAACTTTGCTATTTCTTTGAAAAGTTTTGGTAAATATTTTTCATACTAAAAGTGAATAAATTTTAATGAAACTTATATTAAATTAAAGTACACTCTCTAAAGGCTCTTTGCATTGATGAGAATGCCGAGGAATTACCAGCAATGGCGGATTTCCAGTTATGACGGTAACATATATAAGGATAAAATCGGAAGAAATCACGAAATTACGAGTAAGATTCTCGTTGGCATTCGATTTTATTCGAGGTAGGGAACGACTCGAGAAAGGGAGATGGATGTGTACCGTCGACTTTAGCTGCTTATCCACCAGCAGATGAGAGATTATCGGGGCCATCCTGTACGGCCGTGAGAACTCGCCGTAAGGTCGCAACGTGATACGTTCTTTTGTAAGGTGCCTGATCCGGTCTTATCGTCGGAAACTGTGGAGTTCCGTTCAAGAAAGAAGAAGAAAGAAAGAAAGAAAGAAAGAATGAAAGAAAAAGAGAGAGAGAGAGAGAGAGAGAGAGAGAGTTAGAATGAGAAGAAGAAGAAGGAAAAGACCGAGACGGTAAGTTTCGAGACCCGTCCGTCTTGGCCACTTTGCGAGATGATAGATGGACCACCAACTTCACCTTCCTTCTCTTCTCTTCTCTTCTTCCCTTTTACTTCCATGTCCAACGGTCAACTTCTTTTTTTTTCTGCTCCTTCATCATCTTCTTCACCTTTCTACCTACTCTAGCTCGTGCCGTCCCTCTTCGATGCTCTCTCTCTCTCTCTCCCTCTTTCTATCCTTGTCCAAGAAGAAAAAGGGGGCCACAAACTCATGTGCTTTTTCGACTTCTCAAGTGGCAGCTCGTAGGGTTTCGAGAACTATGCCTGCGGAAACGATCTCGATAAAGTCCCGATCCTCTTCAGCTGACCGCTTCGTATTTTTTCTTCGTGTGTGTGTGTATGTCTCTCTCTCTTTTTTTATTTCTAGTTCGAGAACGGTCAGTAGCGGAGATCGATTAAGATTCAGGTTCGAAAAATATGCGGCCGTGGTGGTGTGGAGGTTTACTACGAGAGAAAAGCACCTAGATGAGAGAGAAGGAAGTAAAAAATAAAAAATAAAAAAAAAAACAAGAAAAAGAGTAAGAAAGAGAGAAAGAAAATATAAGGGAGACTGCATCGGTGTAATCGGAAGATCGGTATTTTTATCTTCCGCGCTCGTTTCTCTCGCGTTTAGATAGGAGAAATGCGGCCCACGTGTTGTGCGAGCGAGCTTCCTGCCTTCTGACTTACGCTCAACCGAGTGAAAATGGAAAAAAAAATAAGTGGAAGAAGTCGGCCTGCCTCCTCCTCCTCCTCCTCCTCCTCCTCCTTCTCCTTCTGGCTGCATCTAACCATCTCTCCGAATGATCTCATTTTATTTTATTTTCTATAGAGGAGTAGTAGTAGTCGTTGTCGTTCTACCATAAGTTGTTCGAAACTCCAAAGGATTTCATTAATATCACAGCCTGCATTGCGTGTTCATTCCGATAACAAGGAAACTCCACGTGTTACCTGATTAACGAGCTCCTTTGCAATATATGAATGAAATATGTTCCTGGTTAACGTGTTTGCTATAACGAGAGACGATGACAATAAACTATCTCTTGAAAATTCAACAACTATCTCTTTCGTAGTTGTATTTCCTTCAAACTCGTTCTTATCGCGTTCCAATTTAGAGTTGGATTATTAATTAAATCAATTTAATAAGCGGACTTATATATCTCATGTTACTTACTGTTACAATAATTGTTTTTCTTCACATTTTTATTTTCAAAGAAACATTTTTCTTTATTATTATTATTATTATTATTTTATATCTTTATATATATATGCGACCAAATGAGATAACATTTTAAAGTGAATAAGATTAATTAAAAGAAATTAAAATTGTTTATAAAAGAAAAAAAAAAAGAAAACAACGTGTAGAAAACAAAATAATACTAAGGGATTAAAGCCGTCGAACGAGGGAGATCATCGGCTTTAAAGAATTAAACATGGAAAAGGGGAAAAAGTCGCGAGTCGCATACGTATATACATATACGTACTGTACTGTCTCTATGCCGTTTGCGATTCGATCGAAAGGGGAGCTTGCAAGTTACGACTAACTCAAGCTTTTTCAACGAGTGAAAGAATGTAGGCCGTGGATCGTCTGTAAAGTTTACGCGCCTGAGTCTGCGCGTTAGCAAAGAGTGGGAACGTGCTTGACAAAAGCAATGTGGATTATAAAACGAGAGCGTAATAATAAAAAAGAAGAAAAAACAAAAAAAGGAAAACGCGGAAGGTGGAAAAAAAGAAAAGAGAGAGAGAGAGAGAGAAAGCATGAACGATCTTTCGCATATAATAATTATTCTCCCGAGACTCTTTTTTTCCAACGCTGGTTCCTTTGTTCCTCATGTTTGGCAAAAGTTCTCCCATGGGAGAAGCTTTTTTCGGAAAAGCTTACTTCCTTCATCTCCCCCTTGCTTCCTCTTCGTCGTTCGTCCGTCTGCCGGTTTTTCATCGGTTCCATCGAAAAGTCTCAACATTTTTTTATTCTTTTATTTTTTCCTTTATTTGATTCTTCTCTCTTATCTTTTACGACTTTATACAAAAGTGTCTGCCTTTTCGAAATTATTCCCATTAACGTTATTATTATCATTTATTACACGTCAATTTACAATTATCATTATTATTATTGTCATCATCATCTTGATTGTATCATTATAAAAAAGCTTTCTATATTATTTTCTGTTTAATGAAAAAAAGATATTATGTTATACGAAAATTCTTTCTTACGTACGCTTGCCTCGAGATACGATATAAAAGAAATAAGAAGGAAAAAAATTTGATAGGAAGGTAAAAATTTCACCATCTCTTTTTAAAAGGTTAACCGAAGAGACACACACACAAAGATTAAGATGATAGTAAAATTTTATACGATGGTACTTACAGCCGCTTAAGGTTCATCATATTACTGAAGAGGAGATCCGGTAGATGACGAATTTGATTGTTATTGAGCCGCAGTTTTTCCACGCCGACCAGATCTTGAAAAGCCCCTCTTTGGATAGTATGAATCTGATTGTTCGATAATAACCTGTCAACGAAAAAAGAAAAATAGTAGTAGAAGAATAAAATGCTTAAACAAAGATTAAGCCATATCGTTTTATATAAACGCGATATAATATCATTTTTACAAATTCTTCGATAATATTTTATGCACGTAAGGATATAACATTCTTTTTTTTATCCGTGTAATAAATTTTTTTCACAATTTCGTAGATGTACCCAAGATAATCGGATCGTATTTTTTAAATGAAACTCGCGGAAGAGGATCGACGTTATGCAAGTAATTCTTCCTTCCGCCCCATCCCCCCTGACACCCCTTCTAATTCCCGTTTATGAAGCCGCACAAATGCATTGCCATCATCGCGGTCGTTAGCAAACTCCGTAATACATGCTCGAGGAAGTTCTCGACACTGAATATTCATAGTACTGCGGTTTCGTGGCGAGAGGTGAGCCGACTTAACTTCTATCTCTCTCTCTCTCTTTCTCTCTCTCTTTATTTTTTTAACACACTCTCCTCTCGCCTTTAAAACTTCATCACGGTGATAACGTAAAGAAGGCCTATGTAAAGGTATTACTTACAAAACGTGAAGCGTTGCCATGTCCTCGAAGTCTGTTTTAAATATAACCGAAATATTATTCCCTTGAAGATCTCTGAAACAAATAGAAAAAAAGAAATGATTAAAATTTGTCCATTAAATTATTCATATTAGATTAAATGCATTAAAAATTATCAAGTTTCGAAATGGTTAGATCGTTCCCCTTTAATTTGGCGAAAGGTAGAACTAACCTATCCCAAAGAGACTTGTCGCCGCAGTATATTCCGGGAATTTATATGGGTCAGTAGATACCCATATACGGGCGATACAGGTCTTTTCTCTTTTTTTTTTTTGACGGTAAGGTTAACATCTTTGAGGTCTATCCCAAGAATTTCTATAGGTTCACAGATTGGTATCGAAAAAAGTGGGATCAAAGAAGATAGGGGTTATCGAACTGTGAGTATTTATTCGACACAAAATTCGACGATCCTTTTCTATATAGTAATAATCTTTCGTATAAAAATTCAAATTAAGAAGAAGAAGAAGAAGAGAAAAAAAAATAAATACGCGATTTACGAGTGGGTTTTTTCCTTTTTTAATAAATAAAGAAAAACGAGAGAGAGAGAGAAGAAGGGTCAGTGAAAAAGGAAAGTTATGACCAAGGGTTACAAGGTACTACTACTACTACTACTACTACTACTACTTGGTAAGCGCGAATTTACTCGTCATTGTAGTAGTTGTCCTCGTCGTCGTCGTAGTCATTGAAAAAGGCGAAGAAGAAGCTAAAGGGGCAGAAAAGATGAAGAAAAGAAGAAAGAAAAAGAAAAAGGGGGGAGAGAGTTATAGAGAAAGAAAAAGAAGAAGAAGAAAAAGAAAAAGAGGTGGAGGAGGAGGAGGAGGAGAAAGACGAGAGGAGTAGCCGTCAAACACAGCCGTATACCAGCCGTCTGCTCTCTCAGAAGTTATTAAGGCCTTATTAAATTGGTTCCTTTTCCAACCCCCTTCCAACTTTACTAGCTGCAGCAGCACCACCACCATCACCACCACCACCATCACCACCATCTCCATCTCCACCTCTAGTTCCAACTCCAGTTCCACCTCCAACCAACCGGTCGTTCGGTCCTCTTGCAGTGAAACTTTTTACCTGACAAAAAGGCCGACGGTAAGAGAGCGAGTAACGAGGTCGGCCTATCTACTCCAAGAGCTTTTCTACATCGGTGAGGATTTTTTCTTCCGTCCTGGGCTACCAACTAGACTACGACTACGACGACGACGACGAGGACGAGGACGAAGAGAGTAGCAAAAATTATTCCCTCGTTTTCATCTCTCCCGTCTCCGTCTTCTTTTTTCTATTAATAACGCAAAAACCCATCTTTCTTTCTTTCTTTCTTTCTATCCTTATTTCCTCCTTTCTTTCTAATTTTTTTTTTCTTTCTTCTTCTCTTTTTCTCTCTCGTTTTCAATTCGATGAATACTTTTTACTAAAAATAGTTTCCCCTTTAATCATTCATAAGATTAGATTATAACTATGTTATGATATTATATTTGTAATATGATTTTAGTTTGACGTTAAACCAAAATAATCTTCTATAATATTTATTGAATGATTTTATCTGAAATATTAAATATTTCGTATTTCAAAATAGAATGAGATACATAGCGGATTATCGGTAAAGGTTTATGCATCGAATAAGGACAGTAATGGGGCTGCTAGGTGGTTCTACAATTAATATGCATTTCCAATTGGCAAGCGTTCGGGCAAATCGTTCGTTTATGACGAGCATTATGGCGAATTCAATGGTGATGAATCAATCATCGAATTCGTGAATCCATGAACAATTTACAAATGAGATAATATAATATAATATATATACTAAAAATATCTATACGAAATAAATTAACCGAGCGCGCGTAGATCTAGTTTAAAGAATAACATATAATGAAAATCATTTTCAATATAGGATAATATTTGAAAGTGACAAAATAAAAGAGGAATAACACTTGCGATTAATATGCTTTTTAAAAAAGAAAATTAACGAAGCGATATCGGCTGTGATAGAAAAACAATGATAGAATTAACGGTCCAATAAATATCCAAATGGCGATATTCGGTTTACCAGAGAACGGATTATTACGCCCTGCTATATAATCCCTATGGTAGTCGACGAGAGAACTAAAACGTAAGAGAAAGAGAGACAGAGAGATGGCAATAGATAGATAGAGAGAGAAGGAGAGAAGAATACAGAAGGGTGGGCGATGTTGGTATCTAATTATCAGTTATTATACCTTAAAGAAGCTCAGAGCAACGAGCGTCGCCGATCGCATTATAGAATCGAGGTTCATTGAGTCTCTCCCTCCTTTTACCTCTTCTACTCTTCGTAGCGCGTAATCCACTTTATCGCTCGATTCGATTAATTTTCGACGAGGTAAAACGATCGCGGCTGGCAGGAAAGCTAACGAAGGCACATCGTGGGTCGGTCCATCGAGGATGTCTACCGCGTCTCTTCGAGGCCATTCTTACCTCACCCAAACCCCTCACCCAAACCCAACCCCTAGTCCCTCTTTCCCAACTCTCATCCTTATTACTCTTCTTCGTTCCTGTCGTCGTACTTTTCGTCGTGTCATAGGCGAATCGTGCCTAAGGCGAAGCTTTCATGAACTCAACCAACTAACATAAGAGAGAAAAGAAAAAGATGATAAGAGAATAAAAGGAAGAATTCCCTTTTCGTTTAGTTCATACGACGGATTTGTACTTCCACGAACTCTAATGCAGCTTTTCGCAGTGGCGATGGTGGTGGTGGTGGTGGACTCAGCCATCTCGTACTGGTGTTACGCTCAATTAAAATAACTCGACACCTTCTTGGAATATGATAATGGTGATAGCTCGAGTTATCGCATATCTCGGTATAGATTTCTTTGCTCGTCTATGTCGCATCGAAACTCCTTTAAAGAGACTTCAAAAGAGAATTAGAGAAAGAGAATGAGAGTAAGAGAGAGAGAGAGAGAGAGAGAGAAAAAAATATGGTGAGTGGGTCGTAATTCTCTGAAGACGATGCTTTAAGAGAAACGTTACGGATTAACTATGATTAGTCTGCTAACGAAATACGAAGGACTTGCGAAGAAGAGAAGATGAGAGTTAGTGAGTGAGTGAGAGAGTGAGAGATAGTGCATGCAAGTACTTTACCTCATGAAAATTTATTACATCATAAGGAAGGTATAAATATTTGCGGTATGAATTATGTCTCTTGAGAGAGAGAGAAAGAGAGAGAGAAAGAAAGAGATGAGTTTTAAATTAGTGGTATAAGGAAGTTCAGATGTGTTTTTACTCGTCATTTCTGTGGATCTTTAGACAGAAATATGGTATAAATATTGGCGAACGATTAAATTCGTTGACGCTGTTACGATATAAAGAGAGTGTATTTGACTGTACGAAGATCGATGTACCGGTAGGGTAGATAAATCGAAAGGAGTTACTTCTTAAACGAAACGATCGATCGTTTATAATCGTTTCATGTCGATGGAGATAAATGAATTTACGATATATATCTCTCAGGTTATAGCAGAATAATTTAAAGAGAAAGATCGACGTACGTTGTGGTAAGTGTTACAAACAAGCCGAGTTCGAATAAACTGAAAACAGGAGAATGTAATAATAACAACTGAATAGGATAGAAAATCTTAATGCTTAAAGTGATGTCACGTTTCGATAGAACGCGATATTGCTTTCGTAAGAAAATATATTCCGATAAACGATCAATATCCTTTCACTTTTAATACAAGTTTACTAAGAGCAGAAATTATATGTAATAAATAACTATATATTTTATATCTCAGTTATAAAATATATGTGAGTGAATTCTGGCTAGATAAGAACTAAGAAAATATATGTACGGTTGACACGCGATATTATCCTAGGATTTCGGTACAACGGGTATTTCATCATAAGAGATCGTAATCTCGTGGCGAAGGTCACGAGAGAAAATTCCGTAATATTTTATTAACCGTTTGCCCTACTAAATAATTCGACACGGCAACATAAAAGAGAGACCGATGATTTGCTGTGGTGATTTCCGAAGAAGAAACACGAGAACTCCGAGACGAGGATGAAAGAAATATTAAAAGAGCCAAACTAGAAACGTGGAAAGAAAAATTGTCCCTTCTTTTTTTTCTTTTTTCTCTTTTTTTTTTTTTTTAACTATCTTGAATCTGTTCTAAGGATGGATAGGTAGCAATTCGTTTTCTAGTTTCTAGCGTCGACGATCAATGGCTATAATGACGTCCATCGGAAATCCAATCGTGCCTAGACTTTCAGGAAGAAATGAAGGAAGAAAGAAAGAAAAAAAAATGGAATGAAAGGAAAGAAGGAAAGCAAGGAAGGAAGGAAGGAACGTCGTCGTTCTTTCTCTTCCTCGTCATCCTATACTTTTGACAAGCGACTCACGTACCGGCTAACAAAATTACTTTTCGCGTCGTCGGGATGTTCGTTAAATACATTTCCATGGGTTTTCACGAGCGAAAACGGAGGAGAAAGCAGCTAAGGTAGAAAATCTAGTAGGAAGGAAGGAAGGTTTAACCCTGCCTGTCTACCGGATGAGATAGCTGCTCTTACTGCTATTGCTGTTACTCAAGAGATTCGATAGATGAGAGTATGAAAGGATGGGTAAAGTATGTACGAGATGAAAGTTGTAAGGAATATTCGATTGGATAGGCCCTTACTGACGACTTGTCCTGAAATAAGGTGTCCCTACGTGTTTATATTTGAAGTGTTGTTGCTTTCGGAAAGGACCGCAGGCAGATGTAATCAAAGTTTGCAAACAAGCGTTCTATCTCTCTTGTTCGGACCCTTCTGTCAGAAGTGGGCAGATCACGTCAGAACCAGATGAATATCCGGATCAATCTTCTCGCACACTTATGTGCGCGAGTGCGTATGCTTATACATATGTGTGTGTGTGTGTGTGTGAGCGAGTGCGTTGTCGAATCATAATTTAAGATAATACAAAAAATATTGATCAAAAAATCGATAGATATTTTCTTTGATCTCAAATGGTAAAACCAAAGAAAATTATAATACGCCGAAGTTTATTTTTCTTTAATGGAGAAGAAAGAAATATAACC